CCCTCCTGGCAACAGAAAGAACCTCAAGACACTGATTCACTCAATGGACAAAGCACCGGGCCACGCCAGGATCTTTGTCTGCACTGGGGTGTATTAATAATTGAAGGTATTGGCCTAGAGGTGTGTGTGTGTGTGTGTGTGTGTGTGTGTGTGTGTGGCAGGGCAGGGTGGGAGGATGGATGTTTGTTGCAGTGTAAGGCTTCCTGGGGCTCCTCTCAGAGTCCGCATACCTGCTCCAGCCTGGACCTCTATCCCTCTCTTGCAAAACCAGACCAAACCAGCAGGCCCCGGCACCAGACACTTTCCCATCCCTGTATGTCTCATCAGGTGTGGGTGAATACTTAAGGCAGTAGCTTCCAAACTCCGGGCTGCGGGAGAATCATCTGGGAAGTTTATTAAAATGCAGATTCCAGCGTTCTATCAACAATCATTTTGGCCAATGGGTCTGGGGAGACCCTGGGATCTGCATTTAATAAACTCTCTGGGTGATTCCAAAGCAGGGAATCTGCAAAGGTCCTTGCAAAGATCCTGCCTTCTGGGCCACTACCTGAGACAAGATCTGGAAAGAGTACTGGACAAGAAGTCCAGCCCAGCTGACTTTTTCTAGCTTGTACATGGCCTGGGCAAGATCCTGTCACCTTGCTGAGCAGCTGGTTCTTCTTGGTGGAACCCATTGCTTTACCGTTCTTTGGGGAACTGGCAGGGAGTGCGCTTGGATGGAGCTCTGCAGGGAAGATGTCTCCTCACGTGACCTGCCAAGCCTGCCTCAAGGCAGTCCTGGAGGAAGCAGGCCCAGAACTGCCAGACACAACTTCATTCTAGGCGCAGCTTTCCAGCTCTCAGGACAGACTCGGTGACCTTGGGCAAGTCATTGGCCCTCTCTGAACTTTTGTCCAGCATCGGCCTTACATGAATAATGTCAGCTTTAGTGAGTTAACACCGGCAGGGCTTGGCAGCACCTACCACACAGCAGGCATTTCACAAATGTCAGTTCCCTTTCCTCCTACCCCTACTGTGCTCATGGCAATGAGTTAACCCTTTCTGATAAGGAAAAATCAAAATAGCTGCTATTTATTGAATACCTATCAGGAGCAGACACTGACTGTCACTACCCCAGCCTCCTAATTCCTGATGCCTCCCTAAGAGGCATGCACCATTCATTCCCCATTCCTTCCTCGTGCCTTTAAAAATCTCTCTTCAAAGTGGGCTGAGGAGAGGTAGCAAGGAGATGGGAAGCAAGACAGATGTCCTTGCAGACCCATCTGACCAGGCTCTCCCTGTGACAAGCCCTGGGGCAGGCGGGCGGAAAGCATTAGCCTGGCGGCTGGGCTCGGCTCTGATGAAGCTGGAGAGGTGAGCAGTCAGCAAGCGGTTGGAGTCAGTGGGGCTCTCTCTGGGATCCCGTGCTTCCAGCCCGCCCCCTCACCCAAGACATGGAGACACCTTCCTAACCCAGCCACATTTCCTGAATCAGCTGAGGACACACAGAGCCTAGGAATAATGAAACGATCAGGCTCCAATCTGCTAAACAGCAATTTCTGGGCTTTTTCAGCACACACAGCTTTTATCAAATTGGTATTCTCCTCCTGAACACAAATGGCTTATTAGACATGACCCACTTATTCGCCGCGTCTCACTATCATTAATAACAGTTTCTTTTTGTGATTAAGTGAGTGGCTCCAAACCCTTCCTGTGGTGGCGGGCGCTTGGCCTGGCAGAGCCGCATCCATGGGGGCTCCTAGGCAGCCACTACTTTGAACCTTACGATGTTGGGAGAAGACAGTCTGACCCCTGCAGAGTAGCCCAGCCTCCTCATTTCCTGAGGGACAAAAGGAACCCCAGAGGCATGACCCACTTGCCCAGAGCCACACAGGCGGTTGGTGAGAAGCCAGGTTCCCCAGCAGCCAGTGCTGTGTCCTTTCCATCTAGCCCCTCCTCTGGGCCCAGTAGCTGGACCTCTCCAGGGTTCAGAGGGGACATTATAGCTGGTGGGACAGAGCTGTGCCCCTAAGCACACCTGGCAGCAGAGGGCAGGTGGAGACTGCCACACACAGGGCAAACCCTGCTCCCCTATAAAAGACTACCTCGGGGACTCAAGAATGAGGGTGGCACCCAAATCCTTGGGGTCTGGTGCTCCAGGGATAGATGATTGTAAACTATTCCGAGCCCCGGTCCTTGTATCTCTCGGGACTGCAAACTCGGGAAAGCCCTTTTTTGGAAAATTCTCCCAGAGCAAGTTTCAACCATGCCAAGGAACTGAGCGGAGCAAGGAGGGAAGCGAAAGGAGGAATTCCCAGTTTCCCCCGCATCGGAGAGAATCTGACAGGGAGATGGATGTCCTGGAATAAGCGCTGCCTTTTCCCGCAGACCCTGAGGCCAGTCGCGGCTCAGCCACTCACTCACTGTGTGACCTTGGGCAAGTCCCTTTTCTTCTCTGAGCCTTGGTTTCTCCATCTGTAAATCGAGGATCAGAATAGCCCTTCTTCTATTTACCACCGCTCCAACCGGGGCAGTAGACATTAGATGGGGGATATGAAGGGTGCACAAATGATACACAGAGTAGTTACTATCAAACGTGGTAAGGCAGAAGGGTGCAGGGAATCATGGTTCTCAAAAAGCAGAGACCCCTGAGAAGAGCTTCGGAAACCCCCTACCCCTGGAGCAATCCCACTCATGTGTCACACCCCAGCAAAGCTTTCTCTGATTATCTATCCCCTCACCCCTGACTCGGCCCCAGCGCTTACTCTTTACCACGAGAATAAATCACCCAGTTCTCTGTTCTTTGTGCAAACCTCCCCCCAGCCCTGGGCATACGGTACCCAGCTCTGGTGCTGCAGCTTCCCCCACCAGATTGGGAGCCCCTGCAGGGAAGAGACGGATGGAGGAAGGGTCTTCATTTTCATCTATGCCCTGGTCCCCACACAGGAGCCTGGCTCACAGGGGACAGGGGAGCCCCCGCAGCCTCAGATCCAACTCTGCTGCCAACTTAGACTCCTCTGGGGCTAGAAGGAGCTCTGACACTTAGGCAGCCAGTACTGGGAATGCTTGCTCCCCGGTTCCCATGGTGGTTGGAGTTGAGATTTCTCACATTTCAGTCCTCTGAGGCTAAGGGTGAGGATAAGTGCTGCTTCCCTATAGAGGGATGGCAGGGGCTTCCTGCCTACCCCAGAGGCAGACAAAAGCATCTGGTATCCTTCTCCCCTTTCCATGCCTCTGGCGGGAAGCAGCCAGCCCAACTATTCCACTGTCTGCAAGAGGCTCCTGCCAAGCCTCCTATCCTGAGATACACCCACCTCACCGGGCGGCTGCAGCCTCAGCTACCGGTTCTCAAGATACAGGGTCTTCTGTCCCCCAGGTTCCCCAGTGGCATAAGGGGCAGGTGTGGAGAGGGAGAGGAGGAGTAGTTGTGGACTTAAATCCATAAAGGAGAAAGGCAGATGGGCGGGGAGAGGTGGGTGAACAAAGTGTGTTCACAAGTGTGCGTGTGTGTGTGTGTGTGTGTACACACGCGCGTGTGTGTACTTGCCAGTATGTCTGCAGGCGGGCAGGCAGGCAAGAGTTGTGCAGAGTGTTTGAGCCTGGATGCCAGCTGGCAGGGTGTGAGCCCACCAGCGTAGTGTCTGATATGTGTGTGCAGTGAGCATAAGTGTGAGTGCTTAGGGGTGAGGAGAGGGATCTGGGAAGGTGCTGGAGATGGTGAGGGTAGGAGTTGAGTGTGAGAAAGCAGTGAGTGTGACTCTGAGTGTGCCCGTGGCTGTGAATGTCTGTGTGGTGGTTGTAGAGGTGTGTGTATCTGTAAGAGTGGGTGTGGGGGGAGGGAGTGGGCTTTCCGCGATGCCAGATCCGGGGTGCCCCCTCCTCCGCAGGGGTAGACAGGTTGCCAGGGCGGATCCGTGGGCCCGGCAGGGGGCGCCCAGGGACTCCCGTCCCGACCACCGCGGGTTCGAGCCCGGGGACTGCCAAGTTGGAGCGGTGCAGCCCCGGGTGGGGTTTGATGGGGAAGTCCGCGGGGGCGGTGACCGAACTCACCATGGCCGGAGACGTGGTTGTCCCAAGGCGCGTGGCCGGCGGGCCTCGTGGCGCCGCCGAGTTGCAGGAAAAGTGCCAGGTAGTGGAGGGCGCCCAGCGCCACCGCGAGCGGAGCCCCCATAGTGCGCGCTCGGGCCGGGGGCGCCGCCGCCTCACATCGGGGCTCAGGAGACCGCAGACCCCGCGCCCGCCGTCCCCTGCCCGGTGCGGCCTGGCTGCCCAGCTGCGACCGCTGCCCCTCGCCCGCTGTACCCTGCCCGACCCGGCCCCAGCCT